TTCCGCCTGAGCCCACGGCCGACTGGGGGGAGTCCGAGACTGAGACCTACACGGAGGTGGTGACGGAATTGGGGACTGAGGAGTTTGAGACCGACCTGGGGCCAGGGGAGGAGGAGGACTGGGAGGAGGGGGAGGGGGACGCAGGCCCAGGCGCGGGGCTCCCCTTCACCACGGTGGAGACCTACACGGTGAACTTCGGGGACTTCTGAGGACAGGTCTGAAACGCCGGAGCCCATGCCAGGTCACATTGCTGGGCCCGCTCGGGGGCCATCAGCACACCAAGGCCCCCTGGTGTGGCACACACGTGCCCACCACCTCAGAGCCAGGTCTGCCAGGCTCCTGGACTGCCCCCGGCCTCGGAGAGGTCGGACCCTGCAGGCGGAGCTGGGGGCGCGCCCAGGGCAGCCTTCTTAACTGCTGCCCAGGCCACACTAATAAACAAGCTCATGGCACAGGTGTCCCTGACCATGGGCCTGACCGGCTGGGGAAAGGGCAGGAGGCCCACTTGGTGTGGGCTCCCCCACAGGAGGGCGCGGGCGCAGCACAGGTCCACCAGATCACCAGTTAGCCGTCAGGTTTATTTACAGACAAGCTGCTCCGTGCTGGCCCAGCAGGGGCAGAGGCCGCCTCCACGACTCAGGGGCTCCGTGCTGGCCCAGCAGGGGCAGAGGCCGCCTCCACGACTCAGGGGCTCAGACCCAGGCCTCCCAGGGCGTCGTCCTCGGCGCCGAAGCCCGAGAAGCTGATGGGCTGGCAGACCAGGCTGCGCAGGTTCACCAGGCAGGCCGTCTGCGTGGCACTGAAGTCCGGCACAGCCACCAGCAGCACCGTCTGGTCCTCGGGGCCTGCAAACAAGACACGTGGGGACCCGCTTTAGGTTATGGGTGAGCCCGCCTCAAAGGGAAGCCACCACAAGACACGGGAGTCCCCATCCGCACGTGGGAGTGCTGACCGCACAGCTTCTCTGGGCAGAAATGGAAAGGGCCGAGGACACCCTAAACGTCAAAGGCTAACGTGACGCCGACCAGAGGAGCCCTGACCCGGCCGTGGGCGCGGACAGTTCCAGCGCCCGGTCGGCACGCAGTCAGCCAGCGCCAGGTGGGCCTGGGCTCCCGATGAGAGCGAGTCCTTGTCCGAAGAGAAAGCTTACCTCGGATGATTTTGGAGCCAAAGCTGGGGGTGTTGCCACAAAAGTAGACGTGCGGGCACTCCAGAAAGATGAATGGGTCGCTTTTGTAGAAAGGGTAGCAACCTAGAGAAGGGGGCCGACAGCTGAGTGCGGGGCATTCTAGGGCCGCTCCCAGAACAGCATCGCACTCTGGGGCAAGGCCGGTGAGTGCAGATCCACGCGGGAACCCACCGGGCATCACGGGGCCACCAGGCCTTCCCTGGTCTCTGGTCCCACCCCACATAGCTGAGCCCGTGCATTACCCAGGGTGTCAGGGGCTGTGGGGCTGATGTGGCGGACACGCAGGGTCCACTCCAGGATCTCCAGGTGGTCCTCCATGCTGCTGTACCGGAAAATGTCACTCACGTTCTGTCCCGCTGTGCCCAGGAACCTGCAGGGCAAGGGGGTCTGACACCTGCACTCCTCCCACAGGCAGCCTGAGCTCACCAGGCGCACGTGGGGGTGTCCCCAGGCACCCTAGGAAAGGGGCCAATCGAGGTGGGCTCTCTGCAGTCCTGCACCCAACCCTCCCCTCCTGGTGCCACTGAGTCCAGAGGCCATGGGTCAGGCTGCAGGTGGGCTGTGCTGGCTACCTGACTCCGTCGATGGTGGCCTGGTAGGGGTTGGTGACCAGCTGTAGCGTAGAGTAGGCGGTGGCCAGTGGGAACATGCAGGGGTGCAGGGGCTGCTGGGGGAGTGTGTAGTTTGTTGGGTCAAACTCGCCTGGCATCACGTCCACAGGTACCGAGGCCTGGAGGGCACAGGGCAGAGGAGCCTCAGGGCTGGCACCCACCATGCAGCCTGGAGCCCATCCAATGCCCTTCGCCACCTGCCTCCTGGTGCCCGGCCGCAGCCTCAGTGTCCAATCCCGTCCCTGCCAGCCCCGGGTGCTCACACTCAGCTGCAGGAGGATCTCGTCCAGCATCTTGACGGCCTCCACGCTGGCAGCCTGGGTTTTCTTGGTCAGGTACTTGGCCTGGGAGTAGAGCCATAGGCTGTGAGGCCCTGGGGAGTCTTAGATCAGAGGGTCACCTAGCTACCTCCTGGGGCACTGGGCTGGGAGCAGAGCAAAGCCCTCCCGCAGGGGGCAGAAGGCAGGGGCTGAGCCAGGACGATCCCTGAGCAAAGGTGGCCCCGGCATCGCTGTTGGGCACTGCCCACCAGAACTGCAAGACCCTGTGCCCGACACAGGAAAGGAGGGGCTGCTGCGGGCAGGTGGCGCCCTACCTTGTTGATGGAATCCCTGCTCTGGGTGCTGTGGCTGAGGAGGTTCCCAGCGAGGATGACGCGGGACACGTGGGCGGCACTGCACTGCTCCCCCTCGTCCCCCAGCTGCCCCGTCACCACGTCCACCAGCAGCTGGGTGCCCAGCAGGCTCTCACCCCCGCCTCCACCCAGGCCCAGACCGGACACCAGCAGCACAAACCTGCAGCAGAAGTCGGGGTCCTCTGGGTGCCGTGGAAACAGGTGCCCCCCGCCCCCATCACCTTCACGGGTGAGCAGGAAGATGGAGCCCAGGGACCGCGATTCCCCTGGACCACTGCCCGGGACCCCAAGCACCTGCTCACCTGTCCAGGTCAAGGGGTGGTGCAGGCGTCTGAGGAGCCAGCCCTGCGAAGCAATGGTCCTCCACCACGAACTTGCCGTCGTCTCTCACAGAGCCCAGCACGGCCAGCACCGTCCCTGGGAGCAGCAGCGTCAGGCCCAGGAGGGGAGCCGAGGGACCACCTCCTCCAGCCCCGACACGGCACAGCCGGCCCCTTCTCCACTGTGATGGCGAGTTCCACTCAGGACCTGCGTCCTGGGACCACTGCCTCTGGGCAGAGGCGGGAACTGGCCCCACCTGGGCCTCACCCATTGCCTGAGGCACAGGCCACCCCGCCCCACGCCCCACCTGTGACCAGCCTGGACACATCGATGGTGCCTTCCAGTCTGATTCGCTGCAATTCATCTTCCAGGACCAGCTCATCGTCGGGGTGGATGTACTTGCTCCGGGGGGGCTGGGGGAGCAGGTTGTGCTGGAAGGCAGAGGTGAGGGGTGGTCGGGCCAGAGTCCACCAGGGCTCCTGTGCTTGCTCACTGAGATGCCCCCCCCCACCCCCCGGCCCAGCCCCAAATCCTGGGGTCCAAGGCAAGTGGCCCACTGTCCCCAGGGAAGTGTGCTCACCTCCTCGCTGACCTCCCGCAGGATGGAGGGCTGGAGCGGCATGGCCTTGAAGAGGGTCCCCACCACACAGCACTTCTCCTCGGGCTGCAGCTCACACAGCTTCTTCACCAGGACCCCACTGCCTGGGCACGAGACCTGAGCTCAGAGACCAGGCAGCCCTCCTGGCACCCCCCCACAGGGCACGGAAACAGGCCTCCCAGAGCCCAGTCGCCCAGGGACCCTGCCTCTGCCGGGAGAGTGCACTGAGTGCAAAGACCCCCTAGACCTAAAGGATTGCTTGGCCCCAGGGGGACAGGGGACTCGGGATGTGGACGGGCCCTGGACGGGTCCGTTTGAGAAGCAGACAGGCAGAGAGGGCGACGTCTGTGGTGACAGGGCCACAGCCGGGAGCACCAGCAGTCACGGAGCTGGAGGAGGTGGGAAGGGCTCTCCCTGGAGCCTCTGAGGGGTGCAGCCCTGTGACACCTGCACCCCAGACTGTAGAATAAATGTGCTTTAAGCTGCCCAGTTTCGGGCTCTGTTGTTACAGCAGCCACGGGCCCCTGACACAGGCTCTACCTCGTTTACACCGACATTAGAGCACTGGTTCTTAGAAAGACAGGTGTGCCAAGTCTCCACATAGCCCTGTCTGAAAAATATAACAAGTTCCTTTAAGAGTTTGGATTCTTCCGAGAGCTCCACGAATGCTTCATCCTCTGAAAACAGAGACACCGCCAAATCAAACCACATCCCCACACACCCCATCGGCTCCCTGTGGAGTCAGGCGCCCGGGGTCCTGGGACACCACGGGGACCATCAGGATGCACAGCACAGGCTGGTCCTCGGGGCGCAGGGAGGAAGAACACAGGTTCCGAAGGCCCCCGGATCTGTCAGCCCCCAGGCCTGGGGAGAAGGCCCACAGGAGGTGACGGGATCATGTGGCTGTGGGACCAGCCCCTTCCTCAGCCCGGCCGACTGCAGCATGAGCCCCTCCTGCCTGGAATAACCAAGAACATACACCAGATCTCCCCCGGGGAGTGGAGAAGAGTCGTTCAGAACAAGATGAGGAGGGCGCCAACACCGGACACAAATGCCAGGCGCCAACAGGAACCACAGACCCCAAGGCCCCAACGTCGGAGCCGCATTCACCCCCAGGTGATGATGCCGAGCACTGTGCATGGAGCTCCCCAGCCCAACAGCCCCTCGTGCGGCTGAGGAAACCGAGGCACAGAGGCTCAGCAACATGTTCTGAGCACCAGGCAGAGCTCACAGCCACTGTGACAAGTGCCACCCACGGCAGCTAAGACAGAGCTATGGAGGAGGCCCTGGAGGCTGAGGTGGCCCCTCGAAGCACATGACATTCACACTGAGGTCCCGAGGGACTCTGGAGACGAAGCAAGCGGGAGAGGGGAGAGCCACAGGCAAGAAAGGGCCGGCTTGTTCGGAAGCAGGGGAATGGAGAGGCGCCTCCCGGCACGGGCTGAGCTCCGGAGAGGACTCCTGGTCACACTGGAAGCTCCATGAAGGTGTCGGGGTGAAGCCAGCATGACAGCCAGGCCCGTGAGGAGCAATGCTGCCCAGCCGAGGCCCGGCACTGTGGGCCCTGTCTGGGTTCCTGGCCCCAGACTGTGAGCAGGATGAGGTGGCTGCTCCATCTCTGGGGAGTTCTGTTAGCAGCAGTAGGGACTGGAAGAGAAACCTGGTACCAGAGAGGGCGCTGCTGTAAGGAATCTAAAAGGTCAGTGACACTGGGCCTGAGGGTGTGCCCGGGGCTCCCAGGAAAGTGAGGAGAGTGGGAGCCAGTGGAAGGAGACCCTTACTACTGGCAGAAGGTGGAAAACACTTTGCCTGCAGCAAAGAAAACAGAAGTCTTTAGTGAACGTGACCATCTAGCTGGGAGAGGGGGCCCAGTGTCCTCTGGCTGCGCTGATAAAACCAGAGTCGATCCAACTGGCCTGCCGGGTGGGCCTGGGCACCGTGCTTCCCAAAGCTTTCCTGGGGGGCCAGTGTGCAGCCAGCGCTGAGACCCCGCGCCTGGTGCCGGGGCAGTAAAAACGAGTAAGACAGGGTCTCACCGACACAATGTCAGCTTAGTAACGTTAACAGGTTAATTGAAAACTATATGGAAAGCCACTCCCACAGTGACAACGGATAATACGGATAATGCAGTATCTCCCAAAATTGGAAGGGGGGGGGGGTCCTGGTTCACCACCAAGAATAACTTAACTGCAGGAGAGGCCACCAAGGAAGAAATGGGTAAAAAAAAAAGCTTTGCACTGCCCAGGCCAAGTACCCAGGAAAGAGAGACAACAGGCAGGGAGGCCGGGCAGAGAGGTCGGAGGTCAGTGAAAACAGGCCCCTCCCGTGCAGTGGGCGCCTCCAAGGGAGGTGGGTGCTCCCTGCACTGAAGACAAGGAAGACCTGTCCCTACGCCAGTGCAAGACCAGTTACCATCCAACCAGGCCCTGCGGCCACTGGCCACTGACCACACCTCACGTGACACCTGACTTAACCCCTTCGGCACCTGAAGAAGACACTGATCTGAAAGCGGGTGCTCCCCCCAGGCCAGGGGGAGGGGATACACCAAAGGCCCCAGTGCTGCCAGGTCTCAGGCTGGTGGGAGGAGGCGCCTCCCGCACTGGTCACTTACCCCACTGCTGCTGGGCCCGGCTCACCAGGAAGGGCCTCATCTGGAGGAGGCGGGTGGCATAGATGTGGGCATACTGCCGGCTGAAGCTGCGCTCCCCCAGCCGGAAGGGCTGGGAGGAGTTGGTGTAAGTCGCCACGGGCACTCGGGCAAAGGTGGCGTTGCTGGCTGACGGCGGGGACAGCAGCGTGTGGGCCCTCTGGGCAGCCTGCTCGGCAAACATGGTGTGTTCCAGGCCAAGGAGGTGGTCCCTGTGAGCACACAGACGCACTCCTGCAACCCCTGCCCCGATAGCGGCCGCTCTCCGAGAGTGTGTCTGCACCCAGCTGACCATCGGGGCTGACCACCGGGCACCCACGGGCCTCGGGGATGGAGGGGAAGGCTGCAAGCCCACCAGAGGGCCGAGCTGCTGGGGAAACGCTTGTACTGGATACAGTCTCCCCCTGCACGCGCCCGGAGGGAGAAGAGGAAGGCCGCGCATTTCTCCGCCTGGAGCTCCAAGCCGCCCGTGTCCCCTGCCTGCCCCCACCTCCACCTGAGCAGCTACCAGGGCTCAAGTCCACAGGCCCCAACGGGATCCTCCTCGGCCCGGCCAGCGCCCAGCACCTGCTCCATCGGGGCCGAGGCCAGACAAGCCCGCCCCGTGAGCCGATCACTGCCCGATACAGCAGGCGTCCGCCCTGTGCTCAGAGCTCGCACAGCCTTCCCATTGCACGGAGTGAACCCCAACCCCTACAAGGGCCTGTGACATCTGCCCCGCCCTCGGCCCCCCACAGCCCGCACGAGGGGCTCCGCACTCCCTCGTCGTGGCTCACATCCGCCTCCTCCTGCCCCACGCTCCCTGCGCTCCTGCTTCTCCGTGTCCTGGCAGTTACCTCCTAACGCGGCGCATTCAAAGTTTCCTCTGCGTCCTGCGCGGGGACTGCACGGTGCACGCCTGCCCCTCCCGGCC